GTGAACAATATGAAATCCTACTTTGTTCCTGGCAATTTTTATGTACTTATGTATCACCAGTGGTCCCCTACCATGGTTTTGTGGTAAAATATCCTTAGTCTACTATCAAGGATTTGTGTGAAAATATTATACTGGTAAATTATAGTTTCAGTATTTAAAAGATTATGGTGATTCCAAAGTAACATGACATGATACTGAAATATTTTCTTATACCTAATTTCTAGTTTTAAAACATTTAGAGTCCAAAAAGGTTAAAGTTAAAAGTTAGTCACAGATAAAAGTATAGCAAAAAATTTATGGCCAGTAAAGTTTAATAAAGAAATAAGATGGAATTTTTTATTAAGGTGTAAGAGATATTAAAACAAGGTTCAAAAATATGCAATCAAAATTGGCTGTACAATACAGGCATTTAAAAATTATAGTAGTGAATTAAGTTCCCTATGACTTTCAATTTAATGTGCTCCACTACCATTAACCATGGAGTTCACACATTGTATACATATATCAAAATATCATATGTACTACAAAAATCAGTACAACTATGATATATCCATTAGAGAAAAAAAACAAAACAAACAAAAAACGCCCGTGGAGTCTAGAAAAGAGCCCTGAAGCTCTGAGTAAAACTCGGCCTTGCGTTCCCTGACCACCTATCCCCATCTCTCCATCAAGAGAAGGTAAGAGTGTAGTGAGCCTACAGTAAAATGACACTCTCCCCCTAAAAGGAACCTATGGTTTAAGTGTTCTACCATCCGTCGGGGTCGAGAAGGAGCTCACACTAGCACCCCACCCGAACCCTTCAGAACTGAAGCCTTACCTTATTTGTCTGGAGTCTACCAGGGTGAATCTGATTATGACTCTATCCCCACTTATGTCAATCACCAAAAGACCCCACGTCAATCCTCACCTGCTTCATCCTCACTCAGCTACACATATCCCCTAGTATGTCCACAAGATAAAACCCTGCCACTGTGCTCTCTGGAACTTAGTACCATTAGGACAAGTTGCTATGTAACTCAGCCTTTTCTCTGAACATCTCTTCAGATTCTCCCTCCAACAAAAACTTAAATCAACCCTGAAGCCCCTGTTTACTCTGTAGTTATCTCAAGTAAACAATGGCTACTTTGCTCCCACAGCTCTTGCATGGCTGGGTATGGAGGTAGAGTAGGTTTCCTTTTTCTTCAATGCTAATTCTAAACCTCTCTCTCTCTAAAACCCTCCAGCTAGAAAATCCCATGCCACCAGACCTTATCACCCACTAGGTCTCAATAGGGGAGAATGTGGCAAAGTATCAGCACTCTGGTCATCCATCTGTTTTTGTATAACTCAAAAGCTAAGAATGATTTATATATACATATAAAAATAAATGTTTGCCAATCACTGCCTTAGGACCTAATACTACTGTCCCTCTCTCTAATAGTATCCCCACCTTACTTCTTAAGAGGCTGCAATATACATCTAGACAATCTTTTATAACCTCCAATCTTACACTTCCTTGACAGGCTCTCTTCCAATAATCTTGTCTTCTACCCTGTATCACCCCTCACACCTGATCATATCCCAGATTCTGGTATTACTATAATAAATAATTCCAACCCCTCAACAATCTCCATTTCATACACCCTACTCTCTGACCACCACCTCCTATTTCCAATTCACTCTCTACTACTCCAACAATCCTTTAATTTCAACAGGAACCATTAACCATTATTTATTATCCTTCTTCATCTTACTGTCCTCGCTTCCCTATCTACTGAGCTTAAATATCACGACTCATCATTATAATAACTCCCCTTGCATTCAACCCTCAACACATTCTATGTACTCATATGGTAAAATAATAACCCGATCAAATCCTACTCTGTGCCCACACCTATGGAGATGGACAAGAACGGAGAAAAATAAAAAGCTGTACAAACTTGTCTCACTTTAAATTCTTGACCATGAGCCTCAAGTGGAACCTTGTGGCTCCCCAGCAATCATACCAATTTCCCTAGTAAATTTTCGTTCCCTATATGAAACTATTTCTTATCTCCTTTTTTTGCTCAAATCTCTAACATTGCTCTCATCATCACAACTAACAGCACTACTTCTTACTTCACTGAAAAAATCTGAATTTATCACAAGAGATTTTCCCCAAAATCCTACCACATTTATATATGCCCTGTGTATACCTGTATACTCCCCCCTTTTTTGCCTTCTCTTCTGTTATTAAAGCCAACTTTTCTGTGTAGCAATAGGTCCCATCCCTCTAGTAATCGCTCTAGATATCACTCTAGTAATTTTCCTGTCTTCTGTATTATTATTTCCCCCTCTCTGCTGGATCATTCCTACTAGGCACAGTAACATGCTATTATTTCTCCCATTTAAAAAATATCGTTTATCATCTCCACTTCCCTGACCAGTTATCACCCATTTCTCTGCTCTTCTTTATAGCAAAGCTCCTCAAAGCAATCATTTATACTGTCTGACTTTTCTCCTCCCATTTTCTCTTAAAACCACTTCAATCAGGCTTTTGCCTCAACCAGTACATTAAAACTGTTCATCAAGGTCACTAACGACTAAATCCAAGGCTAGTCCTTATATTATGACACATTTCACTTATTCCTTCTTTAACTTGGCTTCCAGCACACCACATCCTGTTGGTTTTCTTCTACAATCTGGCCTCTTCTTCTCAGTCTCCTTTGCTGGCTGCATCTCTTCTTCCAGACTTTTCTTCCCTTTTCTACCTGTACTTCTCCCCAGGTGATCTCATACAGTCTCATGGCTTTAAATAACTCTATACGCATACAGCTCCCAAGTTTATATCCAAAGTCTGGACCTCTTTCCTGAATTATCAGACTACGTATTCAACTGGCTAATCAACATTTCTACTTGGATGTCTAATAGATATCTCAACCCTAACATATCCGTGGTAGGCAGAACAGCACCTTTCCACCAAAGATGTCCACAATCCCTGAAACCTCTATGTTATAATACATAGTAGAAGGGACTCTGCGGATGTAATAAAGCTTACAGACCTTAAAATGGGGAAATTATTAGATTTTTTTTTGAGGTAGGCCCAATCTAATCACAAGAGCCCTTAAAAGAAGGGAACTTTCTCTGATTAAAAGCAAAAGAGATGCAACAGACAAATTCCAAGTTGAGAAGAATTCAACACGTCACTGCTGGCTTTGAGATGGAGGGGTCACGTGATGGAGGGCACAAGGACCCCAGGAAGGCTCTAGGAGCTAAGGGCAAGCCCCTAGCTGACAGGCAGCAAGGAAACGGGCACCTCAGTCCTACAACCACAAGAACCATACTCTGCCAATAACCTGAATGAGCTTACAAGCAGATTCTTTCAGGTAAGAATCCAGGCCATCCAACACCTTGATTTTGGCCTTGAGAGAACCGGAGTAGAAGAAAACAGCTGAGTCCACTCACACTTTTGGCCTGTGGAACAGTGACTGATATGTTTATATTGTTTCAAACTGCTAAATTTGTGGTAATTCATTTCTGAAGCAATAGAAAACAATCACCATCCCCAAAACTGAATTCCTCACTTTTCCCTCAACCTACTATGCCCAGTCTTTCCCATTTTTGTTAACAGCAACTCCGTTCCTTCAAGTTATCTGAACCCAAACCTTTGGAATCGTCTTTAGATCCTCTCTTTTTTTTTTTTTTGAGACAAGAGTCTCACTCTGTTGCCCGGGCTAGAGTGAGTGCCGTGGCGTCAGCCTATCTCACAGCAACCTCAGACTCCTGGGTTCAAGCGATCCTCCTGCCTCAGCCTACCGAGTAGCTGGGACTACAGGCATGCGCCACCATGCCCAGCTAATTTCTCTATATATTTTTAGTTGTCCAATTAATTTCTTTCTATTTTTAGTAGAGACGGGGTCTCGCTCTTGCTCAGGCTGGTTTCGAACTCCTGAGCTCAAACAATCTGCCTGCCTCGGCCTCCCAGAGAGCTAGGATTACAGGCGTGAGCCACTGCACCCGGCCAGATCCTCTCTTTCTTACCTACAAGCTAGATCCTCTAACTTATGTGTAAGAAAGTCACATGGGCCCATCACAGTGGTGCAGGCCTGTAGTCCCAGCTACTAGGGAGGCTTACTTGAGTTCAGATCAGCCTGGGCAAAACTGCAAGTCCTCATATTAAAAAAAAAAAAAACAAAAAGTCACATAAGCTCTACCTTTACATGTATTCATAATCTCATCACCTTTTATCACCCCCACTGCTACCACCATCTTCCTCTGGACTGCTGCACTAACTTCCTAATTGCCTCCTGCTTCCATTCTGACTGGCTACAATCTATCCACAACAAAGCAGCCAGAGGTCCTTTTAAAACTCAAGTCAAACTATGTTACATTTCAGTTCAAAATCCTCCAAAAGTTCACTTTTCACTCAAACTAAAAGGCAAAGTCCTTACACTGCCTACACAACCTTGTGTGACTGGCCTCACCGTGGCCGTACTCCTGCTGTACTCCCCACTTGCTTACTCCGTCCCAGCACCCATCCTTTGCTTCCATTTGTTTTCATATCAACCACAAGATAATAATCCTAATAATACCTAACATTTACTAAGTAATACTTACGATGAACCAGATATCATTCTAATTACTTTACATGTATTATCTCATTCAATTTCACTAATTTTTCCCTGAGTTTATACATGATGAAATTGAGTTACAGAGAGGTTAATTAACCTAAAAGCTCAATCAATAAGGGGTGAAGCCAGAATTCAAAATCACAGGCGAATAAACTCCAACCCACAGCCCAAATTCTTAATCTCAATGATGGCAATGATGTTATTGTTACTTAACAGTCTTTGGAGACAAGTATAGAATAAACAGATGGTAGGAAAAAGAACTAAGAAGTGGGAATCCTGAGTGCTTTATGTATGGTTGGAGAGGTGGGAAAAGTTAGAGAAAATCAGGCTAGGAATGAAAATACTTCTTAGAGGTAAAATTCAGCACATAACTAGTTTTACATAAAACAAAACATGATACTTAAGACTTACTTTTTCTGTAGTAACAGTCAACGATGGAACCAATGTAGGTGATGGTTCTGTTTGTTTCTTGTGTTTTTGTTTGTGTTTGTCTTTTTCTTTATATTTCTAAAAATGAATAGAAGTAAAATCCAATATAAATTTAAATTATAGCCCATATATACGTAAGAGATTCTTTTATAACTATTTAGTAATTGAAAATGTTAACAAATATTTCTGAGAAAAAGTAACTTTAAAAATTACTTCCTCTGATGATAGTGTTATTATATTTTATAGGTACACAATACAAGTTATTTTTAAATGCCTTCAGCTCCCTTATTCTTGATCTAAAATCATACCAATAAACTGAAGTCTATAATTATTTGCTACATTTATATTTAGCAAAATATACACATTTTCTTGTTTAAAACACCAAATTCTTTTGTGAACATTTTATAAGTAGCACTTTTTCCCCCCAGCACAGGCTCTGCTCATAGAGGTAGCACTTTAAAGTTTACATAGCACTTTACATCTGAATAGTGTCAGATTTTTCCACTACCATGTACTGAATTCTATGGCCCAGAACCCAGAGACCAGGGCACAGAAACCCAGGCAAAAAATTCTTTTCTAAGTTTACTCAGAAAGTGGATGAACTAGTTACCTCTAACAAAAAAAAAATTTTAGATAAAGTTGGAGTGTTCTGTCTGTGAAATGCTAAAACTGACAAACTGAATATTAAAAGGAATTTGATTAAATAAAAAATTAACTACATATTGGGAGCCCAACTTTATTTAATGTCAAAGAAATTTAACCAAAATGTTCTCAATTGTTTGAATAAGTATGTTAAGAAACAGAATTGGGTGTGAAATTTACTACTATTTAATGAATTAGTTGAATTTCTTTCTTTCTCATGGTGCTTAAATTTAACCATTCAGAGAACTTAATCTGTTCAAGGCGTGAAAGACTAAAATCACTGTCCCTGCTCTAAAAGAGATTACATACCAGCAGAATAAAATGCATAAAAATTAAGGATACATGTTTTACTAAAATGTCCCAAATACTGCCACTTTTTACATTTAATTCCTAAGTACATAAGATATTTTCTTACTGCAATGTTAATACTTTAGCAACATAATATGTAAATTACCACAATAACACTTTTTAGGAAACTTTTCTATCCTAAAATTATTTTAAAAGTGGGCAATAATATTATAATGACTCCCAAGGAAACATGCTTCCGTTCTTTGCCAGAGGACATCACTGTTCCTCCCATCATAAGATGTCCTCTTCTCCACTCCCATGAACCTCAGTTAGCCTTGTGACTTGCTTTAATCAACAGGATGTGGCAGAAGTGATGGTGTACAAGTTCAGGAGCTTAGAGCTTTAAGAAGTCTTCATGGCCTCCATCTCTACCACCTTGGATCCCAGCCACCATGTAAAGAATCATTCCACACTCTCCTGACAGAGAGGCTAAGTGGAGAATGAGGCCATATGGGGGATGAACTGAAGTACATCTCTGTAATGAACCTAAATTTTAAAGCAGGATTACTTCCAGAATAAGCCAACTATTTTCCACGTAAAGAAGCTAAGGAGAATTATACAAGAGTTTTCAACCTAACTTTCGAGCAAGACAAACCATCAAGGGACAGGTCCAGTGTTGTCAGGATTCAGATTAGAACAGGTAGTCAAGCGTTCTGGCACACACCTGCAGTCCTTCTTCAGGCCCAGATTAATTCAGAGTTCTAAAGGTCCATATGTAATCAGTGAACCACTGACAGAAATGTGTGGGGCAAGCTAAAAAGGGAACTGTAGAAAGAATGTAATATTGAGCTTGGGGTTACCTCTCACAAAAACTCTAAAGTAAATTATTAACAAAGGTTTACTAACATATAGGAAAGGATGTCATTGTCACCAATTGCCAAGAAGAGTTCACCAGGAAGCCCAATATTAGAAATTAATAATTAGCCATAATATAAGAAAGAAAAAGAATATATGAGTTACATTAAGATGACTCAATTCTTTATGTTGGAATTGAGTGAATTTCTGATGAGTGCCTATTATTCAAATAACAAGAATTATCATTACAAATATAAACCAAACCAATTTCAAGTAAAATATAGATCTCACAATGCTTAAAAAGGTGAATTGAAATTACATCACAAATTTTACCTATGTAAAAAATAAACAAAAACCAGTAACAACAACAAACCAAATGAACCAACAGCAACCAAAATTAGGGATAGGGCTAATATTTTGCATTAAACAAAAACTGGCAAGCAAGGAATGAAACAGAAGATTATAGAAAAGAGCAGAAACTGCCCTAGGCTGAGTGACAGGGTTCAGTTCTTAGACCTGCCTCTAATTTCTGAAAGTTCTGAGACTATAACCAAAACTCCCAAATCTGAAGAGAAGCAACCTTATCTTGTTGTTTTCCTGCCTATTTAGCTTTTTCTCTAGGTGACCTCAGTTGCTTTAAAAAGATAAATGATTAGAGATGCAGATGAGGTCTCCCTATCCCCAAGAGGGACAATGGCCACATGAATCCATCCAAGTATGCTAAGGAATTTGGAGAGAGGAGAAGACACAAATTTTAATAGCTCTGTTGGATACAGGCATATAGATTACTACCCTACCTAGACCTACGCAAGAAAAAAGCACCAGGATTCCATGGGCAGGATTCATAGGGAGGAGAGGGGGACAGACAGGGATGGAGGGACATGACTTTGTAGGCAAGGCCTTGGGGAATTCGCTGCACTTTCATTATTGCTTGTACATCTGAAGGTGTAACAGGAATTGATATATCAGGAGTCAGCAAACTATGGCACCCAAGCTAAGAATAATTTGTACATTTTTAAAGTATTCTCTGTTCAAAAAAGGGCTCGTCTCAAACTCCTGGCCTCCAGCAATCCTCCTGTCTCAGCCTCCCAAAGTGCAGGGATTACAGGCCTCATGAGCCACCATGCCCAGCCAGTTCAAAATTTAATAACAAAGCTTTCTCCTCTTCCATGGATAAAAGTCTTTACCTTCCCTTCTCAATATCGCATCAGAAATGATCACTTTTCATTACTTCAGCAAACACCTCTTACTCCATAGTATCTCCTCCTGTAGTTTCATATTTCTATTGCCTATAAAAGTATATACAACTGCCACATTGTAATCAATGCAACAAAAATTACTCAAAAGTTGTCAACAGTACTACTTTTATTCTATTACCCCACACTTGAAACTCAGGGTTTTAAAAAAATTAAGCATTTCACATGGTTTTACTGTGTTCAACAAACCATATTGGGCATTATGGAAAAAAAAGTAAAGCATAAAAATACAGGGATCAGCTTCAAGACACAATACAGCCTGTCAGTAAGATAGGTACATATGTAAAGACAACTAATAGTATAAAAGTTAACTGAAATATACGAAAACCATGTAAAGATATCCAAAGCTAGAGATACAGTGTGAGTCACACAAGTCAAAAGAAGTCTAGCTTCACTAGAAAGGCAGAACTAGGTAAGTGATGGATTTGGGTTCAGAAGGAAGTAAGAAAAGAGTAAAATGAAGACTAAAGAGAGCCATTATTTGACAGAAGAATAAGGGAAGCAAGCAATGTAAAGAAAGGGAGTGAGAGAAAGAGACAGGGTAATAACTGGTCTTTGGAGCAGTCAGAACACACACAATATTTATCAATTAAGTTCATCATCTTACATGAGTACAGCTCATGGTGCTCCAAATTACAATAGTAACATCAAAGATCACTGATCACAGATCACCATAACAGATACTAATGAAAAAGTTTGAAATATTGGGAAAATTACTAAAATGTGACACAAAATCATAACATGCTGTGGGAAAAAATGCTGTAGACAGACTTGCTCAACATGGGTTGCTATAAACTTTCAATTTGTAAAAAAAAAAAAAAAAAAACTATCTGGGAAGCACAGTAACACTAAGTGTAATAATACGAAGTATGCTTTTATTCGATCTGTACATTATATGCTTTTTCTTCATCCATTCCTTCACTTAATTGAAAAGCCACAACTACAAGTTTGAAATTAGTTTGTTTCTGCTATTTACTATTTTTAAAATGAAAAACAAAAGATCATTTGCTTTAAAGCTATGACGACACAAAGGGTTCAGTAAAACAGTAAAGTCTTTTAAAAAACTGCTTTTAACTTTTGTCTCAAATTACTATTTGAGGTTAAATTCCTGCTTTAAAACTTTAAGGAATCAATGATAAAATGAATCAGTGATAAAAGTACCCCAATAAAGTAAGGTAGTAAGATGTAAAATTAACATATAAAAAGTAATAGTGTTTATAGACACAGACAATAAAAAAGATACAATAGAAGAGAAAACCCCAAGACAGAGAATATGGTGGCAGCAACAGTGTTTCTTAATCTTTCTGAATCTCCACACAAAAACAAAGCAACTAGATAGCAGAACCAAAAACCTGTGGAATCACACAACATATCCAAATGTCAAAGTACTACCATGAACCCCAAAATACAAGCAGGTGCAGAAAAAAGAGCTATCAGACCTGCATGATAATAGCACTTGTGAAGCACAAGAAATAACAAGAAAACCCCAAAATAGTAGACAGTATCCACGGGGAAGCACTGAGGGCCCAATTAAGAACAGCAACTGAAACCAGGATGAGTTCTACACTGCCAACACCAACTAAGTGCAAGGAGACCACAGTAAGAAGGACTGATGCAACCTCTCAAACTAGCCATCCAGGGGTCCATTCTAGGACAGGGATCCACTCCAGCAGAAATGCTATCCCTACCAAAAGAAACCAGTGTCCCTTGGAGAATTAGCCAGCCTCAATCTCAAGATCCATTATTTTAAAACACTTCTGCAAATAACCTACTTGCCTCCTTACTCTTCTACCCACTCTGCCTAGCAATATCTCCCAAAGGATTCTTTCTACCCATACCTTTCTTTGCTCCATTATCCACGTGACCTAGTTATTCACCTACATGCTTCTTTTCTTCCTTCACCACCAAGACAGAGGAAGACACGGTATTCTCTTCATATCTGAAATTCTTAAGGGTTAACTACTCTCACTATATACTTCCTTATACCCACTTTATTTATCTACCGACTAGAATTGGCTTCTGTCCCCACCACTACAT